TGCTATCTACCACCCATTATCCATTAACCGCCACCCACTATCTGCTACCTGCTATCTATTGAATTTTGACCGCTATACCAAACAAGCCCTAACTGTCACAAGGATTTATATATAACGAAGGCAACATTCACCATGCCTCATCAAGAATCTCAAACCTTGATAAAGAAGCTCTAAAAGAATGAAATCTACCATGTTGCAAGTCTCAACCAATAAGAAAATTACAATTCTTAGGCCAAAAAAAAAAAAAAAGCAATTCTTAACTTTTACATTTTCAAGAAAATTAAGCACAAATCTACAAACTGATTCTCGAGGAAGACTCAAATTACAAGCTGGATCATAACGAACACAGCATTGAACTGTACTGGTTTCACTAAGATAAATCACACTTGCCTATGACTCTTGTAACAAAATGCTAGTCCTAAATGTTGAAATTTAAGAATGGAATGGAAGTAAAACAGATAGATACAAGTGCAAATGGAAACAATCAAACAAATCTCTAGGCTCCATTACAGCATACCTGGTCGAGAAATATTAGTATTTGCTTTCTTTGCTGAAGCCCTGGTATCTATAGCTCTTTCGGAAGGCCTAGGAGGAAAAATAGCAATCATTAAACACAGAAAACACCATGCACACAAGAAAGGGCCTTCAATTTTTGTAGAGGATATCTATAAAGATTGCATTGGCAAAGAAAGAAGCAAAAATGTGGTTTCCTACTAACAGTGCCTCAAAAGAAGCTATGAAATGTTCAAATCCAGATCCTTAGAAGTGCAAACAGAATAATAAGATGATTACAAGAAAGTAAAAATCTACTGCATATAATCCTATCATTATAAACCAAGTATCATTCATCTAACAAGGCTGGAATTAATACCTCTTTCTATGGCCATCGGGTGCAGTCTTCACATCCTTCGAACTGGAATCACCCTTTTTGCCATTAAGCAAAAGCGATCTAATAAGTATGTTTTGTTGGTTTGTCTGAATCTTCTGACCCTCTGGACAGAAGAAGGTGACTCAGATTATCCAGTTTTCTATATAAAAGTGAAATAAAAAAAAAAAAAAAAAAAAAAAAAAGATCCCAGAATAAAGTAAACTTGCACTAACAGCCTTATGAGAATCCATGAGTCAAGAAGCAGCAAAGGAAATTGCATATTCATTTTACAAAGAGGAGGGATACAACATAATTATTGATACTTGGAAGCATTTTTACTACTTTTAATTTATTAACCATACAAGAAATTCACCATGCAAAATTGAAAGTCAAAATAGCAACATATTTTACTGTGATAAATATGTTTATGTTTATGCAATGTTTTGATTTTTGAATTGACAAACATGATTGCTTTGAAATTAGAAGAAAGTGTAGATATAAGGCATAGGCTTTCTTGGTCCCCTGAATTAATTTGAAAATAATTCATATCTTTATACATTTAAAAGTCCAAAATAAGATGCAGAATCTTACACAAAAAAATCAAAAATAAAAATGAAAGAAAAGATTAAGCACTCCATCATTTCAAAGTTTAGTAGAATCTTTTTAAATTGATTACTCGCATTTTAAGTGAAGCAGATATTTTATTGAAGTTATAGTGCACTGACTGCCAAAATGACAAACTTTATCCTCAAAATAAGTCACTTGTCTACTTCTAAGATTTTCCACCAAACAAAAAAGGCCCAAAGTCTTAGGGCCATTTAGTAATGTTTTTGTTTTTGGCTTTTAGTTTTGATTGTTGAAATTTGAATAATCAAAATTAACATATGAAAGCCAAAATTAAAAAATTAAAATCAACAACTTGTTGGGTTCAATTTTTCAAAATTAATAAACAAAACTGAACTTTTTTTATTTACTAAATTTTTTTTATTTTAATTTAGCATTTAAAAATTTTTAGCAATCAAAACAAAAAACCAACAACAAAAACATTACTAAACGGGCCCTTAGATTGTCCTACAACTAAAATTTTATTCAATTAAGTAAAAAGTAAAATATATTTACAGATCTTCACAAAAGATTTCCACTTTAGACTTTAGAACCAGAACACTGCAATATCAAGTTTCTTTATATGTTAAAGGTGGGGGATTTGAGGCCATCTCTTTCGAAGGGGGAACATGCACTTTAGCAATTGAATTATGGTAAGCTGAAGTGCAGAAGTCATACCATGACAATGCAGGCAGAGTGAAATAAACAAGCTTGCATCCTAAATTACAATTAAAATGTTTTGCAAGTCACAAGAATTAAAAAAGGTTATTAAGTTAATCTTTTGGAGACCTGGAGGTGAGGTGTTGTGCTCACAAATGTAGACGCGCATCCCACCCTGGCAATATTCAAATGTCAGCGGTAGCTTAGAATAAAAAGATATCTTCTTGAAACAAAAATCTAATTAACTAAAGATGGGATTTATTTTATTTAAAAAGATGGCTACATCTCACAAACTACCAGTTATACCAAGAAAATGTGAAGGAAAAATAATGAAGATAAGTAATTAATTGGAAAGTTTAAAGATGCACCAATTTTTCTTCAAAAAGATTGCTACTTCATGTAAACTACATAAAAAAGAAGAATATTTACTCATTTGCTGCAAAGTGACGATATAAATATTGATGAGAGGTAACTTATTAGTATTGGATTAGTTAATGAAGTGAGGGTGTGAGATGGTCAAACTAGGAAGCAAGCAACTGGAAAAGAAATGGAAACCATAAGAAGAATATGCAGATACCCAAAAGTTTTTATAAGCACATGTTACACTATAATGCAACTAGACATGCTTCAATCAAGCATCATCTGCACAACTGCACAAGATAGCAAGTGTCAAGCAGGAGATATTACAGAGAATGATTGCATTAAAAGGGAGAGATCCAAGAACCTTGAACTTATATGAAGATGGTGGTGTTAAAAGTAAGCAATCTGATTTCTAATCACTACACTAATACTAGCAACGCTGCAAAGATGCATCCGCCAAATGAATTCATAGTTCAAAAAACAAGAAAATTTCCAGGGAAAAAGCATTTAAAATAGGCAACTGCCAAACCACAGACAAATTAGTTGAAAAGGAGAGAACTACAGTTTGTCTTTGTCATCCAATGAAATGAGAAGTTCTGTTCTTATGAATATTGCAATTTAATTTAAGTGGTTTATATTGGCCTAATAATTTTGATGATCCCAAAAGAGGAATTTAACATGTAAAATTGGCATCATTAGAAAAAAAAAAAAAATAGAATTCCTAGCCTAGGTCATTACACCCTAAGCATCCATCATAAGACCCAAACCCTACAAGAATACCAAAAACTAACATTTAAAAGTTCATACATCTCAAAAACACATTTTTAAAAGTGCATCAATCAACAAAGCTAAAAACAGAGTTTCAGAAAACCCCCAAGCCTCTCTAGGCTTCGGAAAGCAAGAAAATTTAAACACAATCTTTCTCTAGAAATTTCACCCAAGAAAATACCAACAATGTAACTTATCCTACTTTCATCCCAACAAGTAGAAAACACTAAATTGCCAAATATTAAAGAGAAAAATAAAAAAAAAACCAATAATAGCGGATCAAAAGAGATCACCAGATTGGAGGACAGGATGGTGGAGGAGAAAAGGCCGCGAGAGGGAAGATTGGCGAGAAACTTAGAAGCGCCACCAGTCGTTTGATTAGGCTCATACGGCAGGGAAGAGGAGCTCTCCATGACCACCGAAGACCCTCGCAAAGTAGAGAGACGGCACTGAAGGAGTCAAAATGTAATGGTCTGAGTTCCTACTGGTTTCACGGCCGTCCAATGTTACTTCTCGCTATATATAATCGTTGTGTAAAAATGAAATTACCTTATCATGGTTAATTTTTTGCTTTGTTTGGTTGCTGAGAAAAACAAGAAGGATATTTTTTTTTTAACTAAATAAAATTTAGAATTCATATACTACAATTTGAATTGTACATCAAAAATAAAATTTATAAAATAAATTGTACTTTTAATATATACTTTACTTTACAAAACACATTTTTTTGATGAAATTTTATGTATCAACCAACTTACCATATGACATCTACATAGATAAGGAAAGCCCTATCACACATATAAAGATTTAACAATCACTTATGTGTAAATCATACATTAAAAGGCAAATTGAAACAAAGAAAGTTATAAATAGAGTAATTTTATCAACATTTTAATATCAAAAATAAGTCTTGATATTATCATATGACAACATCTTTTAATATCAAATAGAAATAGTGATATTATCACATGACAACTTCTAAAAGAGTGATACCATTCACGTAATCTCTTAAATCAAACATTCCAATAGATACTATTTATCTTTTAATCTACTCTTAAAATTAATAAGCATAATCTCCATTGGTGGCACAGTCAAAACACCCATGTACTAAGATAAAGTTAATCCCAATTTCTTCTTCTTTTTCTCCTTGGCCATTGTTCCCTTTTCTAGATCAAAAGAGGAAATCTTAAAGTCGTGTTGATAATATTTTTATCGAGTAAATGCATGATTCATGCGTTTTTGTGAGAAAAACAAGAAGGATTGGTTGTATTTATAGAATAGTTTCATAGTTTTTAAGTTGGATTGTACAATAAAAATATAATTTACACTTTAAATTATTAAAATATTATTAATAAATTAATATATATATAAAAGTTCCATTAGTAATAATTTACATAAATGGATTTTTCTATCTATACCTTATGTCACAAGATAAGGGTATAATAATTACACATTTTTATAATTAATTTTCATTGAAAGCATAAATGTTAACTTTGATTTAATCCATTAAT